CCCTTTTAGAGTGGAAGAAAGGAAGATAGCTAAAGGAATGGGGAAATTTTTGAGGTAATGAGAAGGGAAGGTGAGGGGGCCCTCATCTACTTCAGTTTGACAAATATATTTACTTATTGGCTTCACTTTTTTCCATAAATGTGGTGAGGTCATCTGCCAAGAGTGACAAAGTAGGGCTGCTACTAATGTTTAAAGAGGGTGTGGAATGTATGAATGAACTATTTATTCACTGAAGGAACAGCTAGAAAATCAACAGGCAGTTATATCAGAATTACTGAACAACTTTAAGTGCCAGGTTGCCATTAAATGGCAGTAGTTTGTAGTGGGCCAGGTAATCACAGTTCTGTAAATTTCTTCAGTAATGTTTTTCTGCTTGGGAGCAAAAATGGAGAAAATGGAGAGTGAAATTCAGTCTGGGTATCAGCAGAGTAGGCAAAGGAATAGACGAACAAAGTGAAGCTATCTGAAATGTTAGGGCAACTTTAAAGTGGTGAGTCAAGGTCTTTAATCTGGATAGAAGTATAATATAGCTAAAAGAAAGTAATGGACTATCTAAGCTGATAGGTTTCAGAGATTGCCATTAAAAAGCTGGAGAGATGAAATTTAAGGAAGCTCTAGTGGGAAGCATTGTGGCATAGTGGAAAAAAGTCATTAAAATCAAAATACTTAGGAGTGAAACCAGGCTATACCACTTACACAAAATATATGATGTTGGGTAAGTTGCTTTGTTTTTGAACTTCAATTTTCTCGTATGTAAAATGAAGTTTAATTATATTAATCTCACAGTGGTGCTTTAATCAAAAAGTATATAGCAGTACTGGTCACAGTAGACACTTAACTTCCTATTCCTTCTCTTATTAGTGGGGATAAAGATTTTAAAGTTTCTAGTTTTATAACAGCATTTGCTTGAGGCAGCCTCAAAGAATAGTATGTGGAGATTTTAGACTTTATATATCTAAAGTTTAAACTTGTTTGTAGAAATGTCTGTTATTGATCGTGGCCAAGAGATTCATAAAAGATGGAATAAAATAAACAGAGGCAGAGTGGAGATAAATACACTTATTCTGTGTGTCTGTGTGTGTGAGACAGACAAAAAGAAAGGGAGAGAGGGAGCGAGAGGAAGAGAGAGAATGAATATCAATGAGGAGGGAGGGTATAGCTCTTCTACTACCATCTTTATCAACTTATTGTCCTTTTTAAAAAATTCATACCATTTACCACTATTTGTTTGTTTACTGACTATCCCCCAGCCACCATCCTCATCAGAATATAAATTCTTTAAGAGCAGGGACTTTGTCTGTCTTGCTTGCTGCTGTATCTCCAGTAGTCAGAACAGTGCCTTGGCATCAGCATGGCAGCATACTAAGGGGAGGAAGGGTCCTAAGAGTGGACTGCTTCAGTGGAGAGGAGTATATTGTCACTGACATTGTTTAGTATTGCCAATGTATGGTGATAATAAAGAACAGAATGACTTGTAGTCAGTTTTATTACTGTTTCCTAATTTTCTGCAGACAATGTATTCTTTTATGTGAGGGCATAGGCTTAACAAAACGCTTTCTCCATCTCTAAGGACAAATTTGAATTTGGGTTAACTTTCTAGCTCAGTTCCTCTGGAAATTTGATAAAGAAAAACATCAGCTTGTTACTAGGCAACATTTCTTATGATAAAAATGGTCCCTGACTGGTAACTTGCATACAGACTGGAAGGAACTATAAATAAACTATAAATACCCAGTGGAAAGCCACAGCTTTGGGCTTCCATAAATGTGGTAACACTCGAAACTGGGCATTTCCCTTGTGGGGACCCTAGAAGCTGCCTAAGACTTAAATTAAAAGAAATATTGATTCCTGTGTAGGACAAGGAGCTTCTAAGTTGGTGGCTCCCATACTTTCCTAGTAGAATCCTTATTCCCTTGTACCTAGATGTCACTTGAAGAACAAGATGCCACTTGTTGAATGGCTGCAAGGACTGCTAAGATGTGTGGTCCCACTGAAGAAGAAAGCCTGATGCTGTCCTGCTGGTTGCTGAATTTCCTGTTCAATAACTTTCTAAGTAAACTGGTTCAAGGTATAGTATATTCATATCTTGCAAATCTGCTGTTTAGTTAAGAGAACCCCCTGGTGGGCATTCCAGCAGGTAACAGATGCTTAATAAATATTTATTGAACAAATGCATGAAGTTGGAAATGTATGACCACATTTATGTAATTACTGGATGGTATTACCTAAATTTCAACATGCAGTTTGTTGAAATCAACAAATTAGCTACTCTGTGTTAGAGTTCACAACTATACCTCCCCAGTTCTAAAATAATTCCCTCACTCTGAACAAGCTCATGTAGTCACAAAACACTGGGCAGGTCTTAAATACAGTATACATAAACATCTTGTGTGGTATTCTTTGGGTTGAATAAGGCTACTGTTCTGCTTAACAATATGCTACACTGGATTCAAGAGGTGGCATATGTGAAGCCATACATAACAGGGGAGAGAAGAACTAGTAACTTAAGGGGAGCTTGTGCTGTGACTGAATAAGTTATAGACTTGCCGTATTACTAGCCAAATGTAATTTCTTTTGGCCTCTCTGAAAATAAGTGATTTTTTACCCTATTGTTTTCTGGCTATCTGAGGATCTCAAGCCCTCAGGGGAGATACTATGCTTTATTTATCTCTTTTATCTCTAGTTTCCAGTATAGTACCTGGCACTGGGGTAGTCAACAAACATTTGTCAAACTAAACTATATGGTGATAGAGAGTCACAATAACAGGTAACTTTGGATGGGAGTAGGGAGGAATGCCTAGCTATGTTACAACCAGAGATCATGAATTTAGAAGCATTATTCCCTTGGAAAGCCATAGTAAGTACAGAAGGCCCAAAAAAGTAGGGGAAAGGAGTCATACAAAATCTATTAGAGCCTCTCCAATGATAATCAAGTCTATGGGGGCAGGGAACTAGGACTACAAAATCTTCCTTAGATTCCATGATGTATGTACCATCTCTATTCTCTATTCCCATCACTTTTTTCTACCACTAGTAAATAGTTTTAATAAAGAGTATAAAAGATAGCATTAAAAAATACTACCAATGTACTCCAGGGGATAACTGAGAGTGTTAGTCCAGACCCATAAAATCATTAGGAAGAATACAATAAATACAGCTTAAACCAAGTTGCCTAATAACTAGTTGTCTGTTAGTTTGCTCATTCTATTTAGCTTTCTTAAACCCCATGAAGTCACATAGATGCATAAAGCATATTAAAAAAATCTCAAATAAGAGTAGTTCATTAAGTCAACCAGTTTAACAGAAATTTCTTTCTGATGCTAAACATAGTGTCAGTTGGTCCTAGGGATATTAAAACCATCACTATAGATCAACTGAAAAGAATGTTTATTTTGGGTCAGTCAACAGTTGTAGGGAATGGCTAGTACACCATACTGGGAAGTATGCAGATTTAGAAGGTTGATTTCTCCCTCCATTAGCAAAACAAAATATTCTTTTCTTTTGCCCTTCCCAAAAGAATTATTAGGGTAATAGACCCTTGAAAATGTCAAGAAATTAAAAATAATGGTAACAAATGGCTTATTTTCAGAA